TTGTGAAATATCAGGTTACAATCAATAGGAGTCGAGATGAAACCGCGCGGAAGAAAGTAGTCGTTTATAAAAGACACTATAGCTATTTTACTCATTTTCATTGTTACTCTTCATAATTTATTATTTTTTCTTCTTTATTTCATAATTTATATTCTAATTTAGGTTCCTACTTAGCTTATAGCTGATCTGATAGTTTCTTACAGACATTTTGCTGTCATCAAACATTGATAGAAACCTATTTTTAGAACATACCTTCTGGTGTAGAGTGCTATGGTCATTTTTAACTTCAGAGCAGCCGATGTGGTGGCACTCAGGCTGCAAGCATATCCAGAGGTTGGGGCCAGGACAACCGCAGTCGAAACATGTCAAATTCTGAAACAAATAATTGAACAAAATGTTATTCAATGCATACTTTACAAATAGTAATGTTTCCTGTCTCAGAGTCAATGACTCTTTTATGAACTATGTTTAAGAAAATAGACTTCAAGCGTCTCTTTTGAGGTCGGTTTATTAATATACCTTGTCCTAAATATTAATAATAAAATTTAATAATTTTATTGTTTCAAATTTCCAAAACAAAAGGACCCTGTGTTACTTCTTAGTACATCAGCTACCTCCCAATAAAAGCCTTGCAAAATCAGTCCAGCGTGCTGTATCATATGTATATTCATATACATGTAGTAAAAACCATGTCATTTGAATATTATAAACAGACACTTATTTTATTTATCTATACAGTTTTATATCTCTTATAGGTCTGATTTTGAGAAACATTATGACTATAGTTACCAATATCCAAAAATCAAAACCTAATCAATACTATCATAAATTCTAACACACTAGCAATTTACGTGTTATCAAAACAATATCAGTGATATATAGACAGTAGGTATAGGAGACAGATTTATATTGATAAACTGATAATCTGTGCTATCTACAAGATTACATAATAATATATTAATTTGCATCAGAGGTATGAAACTTTCCTTCTGCCACAAAATTATAGTATTTTCCATCATTTACTAAAAATCACAGGTCATTCACGTGAAAATACTGAGAAAAGCTGTTTCTACCTGTTCCCGCAGAGGGGTTCTTTCTAGGGTTCCAGGCTACATGACATCGCTGTGACTGCTGACCATGAGAAATAATCCCTCTGTAGTTCGAAACTAGTACAGCTTTTCTCAATATTTTCACATATGTGACCAGCAATTTGTAGTTAATTTACTGTGTCTTACGATAGTTATTATAACATCATTTTGTATTACTATTAAACATTTGTTAGATAATATAAACACATCAATAAACAACATCATACTGAATTGCTTTTTTAACTCGTCGAGTACCGGTTTTGTAGACACAATTATAGAACAATAGGTTGCGGTCACCGGTGACCGCTTAGTGTTTGACAGTTTAATGCATCCATTCTAAGTTAACAACACAAGCCATTGTCCAAGGAATCAAAAGATTAGAAATGAACTACAAGGTGCCACCTAGTACGATACTTGCATACTCTTTCTTCACACATTCTCTAACATCCATCACATTCATGCACCAGCCAGACCAGACCAGACACAGCATTTTTTATTTTACAGAAACAAAGACCGAGGTTAAGAATTTGTTCAGTAACATAGCCGGCTTAGATATTAGTATGTGTAGATTCTATAGAAAAAAACTATAGATTTGGTGTGTTTTAGGTATTCTCAAACATTGTATGTTAATTTTGCTGTTGACAATAACAGTATGTACTTATGACACACATTTTATACTTGAAAGACATGCAAAAATAAGTTTAGCAAATAAATTTTTCGTATGTATTTTATACAATGCTAGTTTTTATCTGCAGAATTGCTAATATAGATTAGACTATGTCCTTCTACATACTTCCTAATACATTAATGTGTGGCAAAATAATTTTAAGATTATCAATTGAATGGATGAAGCTATAACTTTTGCAAAGACAAAGACAAAGATTATTTATTTGCAAAAACACGTGTTAAATAATAATACATCATAGAATGCACATTATAAGTTGTACAGATGAGAAGTGAGCATAGTATCAACATGTTTGACCATTTCTGGTGTACAAATGTGGAATATAATATTAAATCCAATTATAACAGTTATTAAACTTTTAAATTGTAACATTCGTATAAGAGACTCAAACCTCCTGACCAGGGACAACAAAGAAAAATTACAAACATTTGTCATTTACAAAGTCATGAACACTTTATTAGCATTTATTAACTAGTAGTTTTTTCAACGCTTGTTTGAATAAGTTTAAATTTAATTTAATAATTTCTTTAGTAGTATCAGTGGGATGCATTACCACGTCTCTATATTACCCAAATATTTGGTATACTGGCATAGCACAATACTCTTAGGTCAGTTAGCAAGAAGTTCATCTTTATGTTACATATAATTTTTTTATGTTCTTTCAGTCAGAATTTTAATTCGATTCCAGATTTGACATTAGCTACTGTCATTTTGTAAAATAATGATACCACATATAAAAGTGTAGTGATGAACACAAAAATCGATAAACAATCAGTGTGTGTGTTTAATAATAAATGTTACAGAAAGTGACAGGATAGCGATAGCGATGACGGCGACAATTTATAAAATAACTTATTAACATAATACATCTATCTGTTTTACTTGTCATGTTCCTGAAGGAACGGAATCATGAATGATTACATTTTTTTTTTATTTCACACACAATTATAAAAGAAAAGTCTCAGATCGTTAATTAATCGTCAAAACTAAATTATCGGTTCAGAAATATTTAATTTTTATAAATACTTAGTTTACGAGAGTAAAATTATAAACGAGAAATATCGATCCAGATATATTACATTGCCATATCGAATAATTTCGCAATGTCACTATTTAGTACTTGTCATAACTGAAATTGTCAAATCTGGAATCGAATTAAAATTCCTTAGTTATTTTTAGGTTTTTTTTTATATTTTTTATAAGTAATTTTTAAGTTTTATAGATAATACATATTAGTAGTATAGATAGATATCAATAAAGCAAAACTACTTTATTTTAATTTCAAATAAAGAAATAAAAGGTCTGTTTCATCTTATAAGTATCACAAGATCAATTTGAATGTAATAACTTCACTTTGATTGATGAAATATTGAACTATAGAATACATACCTTTACATAAAGAGAATAATAATGTTTCAATCAATAAGCACAATACACACAAACAACGTAAATAACCCTAACTATAAGATCTACTTACTTAGTTTTCCAACATTGAATTAATTGTAAATCTATTAAGAAAATGTTAAATTAAAGGGTATCTGAAGAATTTAAAAATAGATTATGGATTAAATTATCTATGGCACACCAGGAACTTGGTTTTTTTTTCGGTCTACCCTTTCATTTGTTCATTCCATTTCATTACGTTCTTTGTTTATGAGTTTCTACCATCTCATGTGCATGCAATCAAACAAAGGTTTGCTATGTTTTAGATTCAATTAGTACTTGAACTAGATCTAATTGCAATTAAAATTCTCATTAGTCTTACTTGAATAATTATCAAGGCATGATATGCAGTTTACATGTACTGTAGTTAGATAACAGACAGAGGTAAATGGAATGTAAGAAAAATATTGCCAGTTTCCAATGCAATCATAGCCTAAAATGGTAAAATAAATAATTTCTAAGTAATGTGTTGTGCCAGTGTGCTCAAATTATAATTGTATTATTGATGGCCAGCTTATGTAAAATATTTCCTGATTAGTAGTTTATTTTAACATTAAAACAAAGATGTATACAGTAAATATCAATAACAAATTGCAGTTTAGAGCTCAATAAAAAGAAAAAAGATCAGTTAACATTATCAACTGGAATTTTTCAATGAAAAGTAATAGTAAATATGCAAACATTACGAACAGTTTGCGCGCTACTCCGAGTAGTACTCGGTGGTGTGAGCATTACACAATATAACTAGACTAAACCAAGAATGCTAATTACCTATGACATTACATTTTAGGTTAGGTACCATGAAAATTCTTAATATTTACCTCTTTCGACTGCCACAGCTCCTTCTCGAGAACATCAGCTAATTTATTTAGATGGTCACATGTCACTCCTTTATCCATTTTCAGGAATACACTACTTATAAACGTAAATATGAAGACAAATATACTGATTCACAATAGGCTTGTAAATAAAAGACATATTCTATACTACAGCGAAACAGAACAATAAAGAAAACAGAGCAGGAGGCAACAGAAACAAATGGTTCAATTTAAAGGGAAACATTTCGAGAAAAGGGCTAATAATTGAATTAGATTACAGAAATTTCCTACAACACAAAACCTTCCGTGACGAGCGAAAAGTCAGCCCTCTATTTGGTTTCATTCAATCGTACAGATTTCGAATGTTTCGTTCGATTCCGGTAGCGTTTTCTCATTTATTTACAAAAGTTAGAAAGAGTGCAACATAGTCGATTTGAATGTCGACATGTTGAGTGAGTGAAATATAGTAAAAAAAGAGTTGCCACTTTAGTCAAAATAATCAATTTTTCAATGACTATTTGGTGCAGTGCTGCCAACGAAAAAATTGTCCTTGCCCTTGCAGTTGTTGCTACTTTCTACGTGACTATTCGCTTTCTTTCTTTGCTTTTATGCTAGTTCAGAGGTAGACACTTCATGCCACTCATGATATGTGCACTGATATTTATTTTTACGGGACAATGATTTTCCTTGCCTCAACTGGTTACCGTTCAATCAAGACTCGTGGACTGTGTAGTTGCAGCCTATTACACAGTGGTTATTGCAATGAAATCCATGTAAATTTTTAATCATTATGATAACAAAATTACTTATTTTGTGAGTCCATTGTGAGTTCCATTCCATTGCAGAGTTCATATTAAACTTATGCTGAGGAACTTAGTTATTTTTTCTGTGGACATAGTATTTCTGAACGCTACAGAAAGTATGTCACTGTTGTCATCTGTCACAGCAACAGAATTTAACAGATGTCACTGTCTATTTTGTTGACGTTTTTCTTTTTATGTTTTCTTTTCGATCGATTGGTAAATAAATGAAAGATTTATTAAACAAGGGAGTGTTTATTCTGTTAGTAATAGAAGGGTAATATATTAATAGCTAAATTAACAGACGCCACGCAATGACTTCGGCGTCGTCGAGTAGTGCTCGATCGTTGTTTGCCGAATCTAAACAGCGCTTAGCTGAAAGAGTTCAAGTCAATATGAACAACATTTCGTCTTTGACTCGCCAGATACAAAGAGGATCGAAGTCTAATGAGGTAAACTTACAGAATTGTTTAGAAATAAAGATAATGCCCCTCTTTTTATTCCCTGAAGTGGAGTGGTAACTCTAGGTGTACATTTTTCAATCTGACCTCCCATTTTCACTTCTAAGTCCCATGTAATAAGGGTCTGCTATTGCTTTACACCAGGCACAATGGCAGACTAAGTGCTATTGCTGAAATTTTCCTAGTAGCAAGCTTGTAAAATGTAGAGTAGAAATTATTATTTATTTATTTATTACCACACTTACATCTATCATTAATAATAATAAGTTAAAATTTCTATTTCAGAGATTCACAGCTTCTTGTAATTATATACATTCACTCAGATACCTATACTGCTTTTGACACAGACTTTCATAAATAAATACATATAAGTTTTAATTTTTTTTTATTATATTTCACAGCTTCTATCAAAAGCGGCCAGAGAGATGGCATCAACTGAACATCAGATGGAGACAAGTGAAGAGAATCTAAAGAAGATGCAACTAATAGCAGTACATATGGGTTACCAGTTCGAAAATATACAGAAATCTGCTCAAATGCTCACTGAGATTGGAGAAAAAGTTAATGCTATGCAGAGGTGATAGAGCATAGACATCCAATTATGTAGTATTTTTTTTTAATTGTAATAGTATAACCAGTGATAGCATTTTACCTTTAGTAAATATAGAAATGCTGCTTTGATTGTGTCTAATGAAATCAGCAAGGAGTTTTAAACACAAATATTTATACCTATTCATAATAATTAAAGAACAATAGGTTGCGGTCACCGGTGTCCTCGCGGTGTGTCCTCCTGGCGGTGACACACAATTATTGTGTCAGTTCTCTTAAACATATGCTGAATATCTTAGATGAAATACATCTATGTTACAATTTGAAATGTTAGTATTTATAATTGTGAATTCAGTTATAATTATATTAGCTAAAGAAGGACCTTAAACAATTTTTATGTCACAAAAATGTTAATTTATAAACCTTCTTAAATGTTTTGTATCTATGTTGTATTTGAATTTGAAATATCAATATGTATTAATAATTTAAGTTAATAATAATTTTGTAAATAAATAAATATTATCTTAGTACACATTTTGTTTTTTTCTATCACATCAAATCATTAATAACTATTTTCTTCCTATACATAAGAGAGTTTGTCATAATCTCCAAACTTCAGAAGTGGGTTGGAGACCACCAGTTTAGCAGCAGCTTTAGTTTAACAGCTTAGTTCGGTCTCTGTAAAATGTGTAGACAACCTTTTGCAACGAAAAACTGGAAGGCAATGTTTTATTGTTGATATTAATTGCTATGATTTTAAGTCTAGGAGTCCAATGTTTTATTTATTTTTCTAGTATCTAGTGACAAGTTGTTCGTAGACAGTAACTTTTTTTATGGACAAGTGACAAGTGAGCTGATGCTATGCGATCAGCGCTGCCCATGTTGACCTGAAGGGCACTCGGGACCCGTGCCCAGAGCCCCCATCGTCAGGGGCCCCGAAGAAACAATAATTTTACGGCTGACACACACCCCGTTACATTACCCCTGCAGTCGCTGCTCCGCAACGTGGAGCGGGTTCGATTCCCGCACGGAGCAAGTCTTCGAGTCAAGTGTTTGTGAACTAGTATGTATATTTGTCAACGCACCCACGATACAGGTGAAAATCCTAGTGTGATGCAACGTTAAAAAAAACCGTTCCAATAGGGCCCCGAATTGGGTACTTGCCAACTAGTCAAATTCAATACTTTTTTCGAACAGTCAAAACCTATATTTTTCTATGAATTTTGTATGAGATTGTATATTGTAACGCCACATTTTTTTTAGCGCCAAACAGCATACTTATTTATTAAAATTCTGCTATAAAAATACTAAAATTAAGTTAGTCATAAAATCAATTAATTAATTTCTGATTATTTTTTAATATTTTATTACATTGAACAGTCGAATTTATTTTTGATTAAGGCAAGTACCCAAAATCCAAGGGCCCAGCAGATGAGTGACAATCACGAACGCGTTGTCAACTCGATGAAAAACTTGTTACTTAATCAGTCACAATCCGTGAAGACATCGATACTACATCACATTACGTTGATTACGTCGCAGCTGGACACCGAGTCACTGCATCGACAATAATATAATAAATAATTTATTTCAGACATAAGAAGGTTCTTATACCTAGGTAGGTATTTGACTGCACGGTTGGTGCGGTGGCTGGGCGACCGGCTGCCGTGCAACGTGCCGCGGGTTCGATTCCCGCACGGAACAACACTTTGTGTGATCCACAAATTGTTGTTCCGGGTCTGGGTGTCATGTGTATGTGAATTTGTATGTTTGTAAACGCACCCACGACACAGGAGAAAATCCTAGTGTGGGGCAACGTTTAAAAAAAAAAAAAAAAAAAAAAAAAAAAAAAAAAAATTCTCAAGTTATGGCGTGACAACGGGAAATGGGTTTAATTTTTATACATAGGTACCTATACTAGCTGACACGGCAAACGTTGTTTTGCCATATAAAAAATTTAGGGGTTGACTACCCATAACGATAAAAAATAGATGTTGACCGATTCTCATAGACACCGGATAAGCACAAAAAATTTCATCAAAATCGATCAAGCTGTTTCGGAGGAGTATGACAACGAAAACTGTGACACTAGAATGTTATATATTAGAGATATAATATAGACAATACTACATA